GTTGGATGGGGGCCTGGAGCAACATGGTATAGTGGGAGATGTCCCTGTCCATGGAAGAGGGGCTGGAACCGGATAGCCTTTAAGGTCCCTTCCAACCCAAACCATTCTGTGACTCTGCAACAAGTACTTCAGGCTCCAAACAGCACCTTCAGCATCCATGGGGATACCAGAAACATAACTGATACCTTCAGCACGGGACCAAACTCCCAGCTCCTGCCGCAAGGAGTAGCAGGTCACCCACAGAGCAGTCCCAACTGTACCCAAAGGTGGTTGTGCTGGAACAAAAGCAGAGGCCACAGAAACAGGTTGATTTTTTTTTTTTTTCTTTTTTCCCCTAAGATATGACTAAACTCTATGAGCAGGTAGTGCCTCAGCATCCTGCAAGCATCCTGCAAGCAACGCTTTCAACACGAAGGAACAAAAGGCTGTGACAGGGAGGGGAATGGTGGGAAACCTTAAGGGCTCCCAAGCTTCATTTGAGACCTGGTGTTTGCAGCACGGGCTGTATTTCATCTTTTCATAAGTAACTCTTACCAGGAAACATTACAAAAAAGGGGGCATTTCAAGGCAGAAAAGTTGGTCTCCAAACGCAATTTTATTTTATTTTTTTTTAAATCTTTTGTTAGCAACTCTTCTGGGGAGCGAATCCAGCAGAGGCAATACAGTGCAACGTGCACTCCTAAATTAGTTTCCCGGCACTTGGGACGCTTTTATTATTCATTTCCTCCAAATATTAGGCAATGCCTTTCGCCCCTTTCAAAGTCTATACGAGGGGTCTTTGATGCATTGTGGGACTTGAAAGTTTCAGGTCTAAAGAAGCATCTCTTTCAAGTCCTCCCTTTTATCAAGCATATTCTGTTCTGTTCGCTGTAATGCACACAATGGCACGAGAGTCCTGACCTGCTTCATGTCTGATGAGTTGAAATCTCAGATGCATAGGATAAAACAGCCGTTCCTGGCAACACAGCTTAAACACTCAGGGCTCCATTCAGGCAAATATTACCCAGGGGTCCTACCACGCCACTGAAAAGCTGCAGAAATTGGCTCTGTAGACGGCTGACCAATTCAGCAGTGAGGAATGACCCCGCTACATTAACTCCCCTTTTCATTTCACCCTGGGAGAGCCGGGGTCTGGAGGCAACCGCGGCAGGAGGCGAGAGCCAGCTCAAGCCGGATTCATTTTCCTCACATAAAGTATTTTTTTGCGTGCGCGCGTGTGTGACTATGAATGTCATTACGAGGGTCTGCAAAAGGGGGGAGAGTGATGGCATTAGGGCAGAGGAGCAGGAATCAGTGAGGGTTCTTGTCTTACAGTGATGCCTCTACTTGGAGAAGTAAAACTTGGAGCCCTTAAGACGCTGCAAACGTCTCGAGTAACCAGACCTCTGCCTCTGCTGAAGGTGTTGTGGGATTTTACGCCACATGGTCTCCTTCACGTGTCAACCAGAATTGACACCTCTTGCTGCACAGTGACTTGCTGTGTTTACAGCTGGGGGTTTCCCTCTTTTTTTTTTTTCTGTTTGCTGCAAGCTCACTCAGAGATGGCTCCGGCCCAATAATATACTGGACCCAGGAGAGGGATGCAAAGTGAAACCTATCCTTGCAAAAGCAAACACATCTCAGTACAAAATTCAGTGTTTTTGTCCTTTAGACAATCACACCGACATGTTTTTAACAGAAGAACCAGGTGGCTATTGAGGGATTTTAATCTCCTCTTGACAGGTTAGAACAGGGAGAGATTTTTTTAAAAGGGTGATCTAGAAATGACTGGGTAGAAGAATTTCATGTATGGACTGGAGAGCTCCTAAGTGGGTTGAAGCTGCTGGAATTCACCTTGCCTAGAAGCAAAAGATGTGTCTAGAACAACTCAGAAAAGGAGTGTTCAGACTATGTGGGAAGATGTTTGTAAGAGAGACTGGTCCTTTTTTTATGGCTCTACTTGCCTGCCCCGGTGCTACGTCTTGGTATGCAATCCCAGTCTGACACTCTAAACCCAGTCTTGATAATCCCAAAATTCCACTGGGAAGACCATTTCTTAAGCCACATAAAAAGGAAGAAGTTAATTTTTAATGAGAAAAACCTAGCTGTGTCTTTCCTGATACTGGCAAAACATCCACCAGCAGCTCCAGAGCGTATAAAAATGGGATACAACCTCCCAACACGTCCATCTCCTCCAGGATGCTGCAGACTCAGAGAGATGAGCACAAGCCTGATTTTAAAAGAATGCTGAGCATAGTTCCCATTGCTGGCATGGCAGTAGCAGCAACAGGTACCAAAAATAATATGATAAAGACTGGACAGGGCTCTGAGCAACCTGGCCTAGTTGAAGACGTGGCTGCTAATTGCAGTGGGGGTGGACTAGATGGCTTTTTAAGGTCACTTCCAATCCAAACTATTCTATTCTGTTCTATTCTGTTCTGTTCTGTTCTGTTCTGTTCTGTTCTATTCTATTCTATTCTATTCTATTCTATTCTATTCTATTCAATTCTATTCTATTCTATTCTATTCTATTCTATTCTATTCTCAGCTCTCACACTACCCACCTGGTTAGGAGGGTTTTTTAGGGGCCCTCTTAAGCATCCTTACTAAAATAAAAGCAGGACACTTTGGGGCTTGTGCCCTGTGTGTGAGTGCTGCAGTGCTGGCCTGCTGGAGGGCAGCTGGCAAGTCATTATTGTGTGTCCTACAAATCCTCTGAGCCAACAGGGAAGCTCCAACAATGCGATGATTTATCAGTTTGCAGGTTGAAATTCTTTCAATCGAGATAACAATTCTACTCCTCTGTGTTAAATGAGAGTTTTTGTTTGGGGCCAGCACATGGATGGGACTCATAGCTCACGAGTCAGCAGAAAGATGCTGATGGGAGCGTCTGCACAAATTTTAAGGAGCCTGAAATGGCTCCTTTGAGAGGATGAGACAGAAGAAAAGGAGGAAAACTGCAGGAGAAACGAAATCTATTTGTAAACCCCAGGCAGAGCTGACACGAGGCAGCCAGTGCAGGATTGGAAAGATGATAATGGAGCATGATGGATAGTTCACAGGATTATTAGATACCCTCCAACTCAAATATGCTGAGGAGCCAATTATTTAACGCTAAAGACAGTGCAAACGGATGTTTAATAAGCTGAATCTCTTCAGGATTGCTGGAGCTCAAGGGACCAAACCCCTGCTGGTGTAAATCAGGAAAGCCAGCATGATAAAGTATCCTGTGCTCCAGATACACACTGGTCCTCCATCTCTGCCAGGAGAGCAGGGGCTGGGGTGCAGGGAGGGGAAATGCAGCTGGAATTTGGGAGAAGATGGGTGCAAGGGGCTCCCTGGGGTGGGGCAGCACAGCCCACCAGCCTCACCGGGCTGGTGATGGCACTCAGTTTTGCAGCTGGTGGCCTTCCAGGCTGCCCTGTTTACAGACAAGAGGGTTGCTTTTCCCAGGGAGATAGTCTGGGTTTATTTTCTAGCTGATTGCAGGGAGGCAGCAGGGAAGCAGTGGGAGGAGTGGGAGCCAGAGAGGAGTTTGGTTTTTCCTGCAGGCACTGAATAGCACCTTTTTTTGGAGGCAGAGATAATTTCTGGGAACAAAGCATCACCTCTCAGACTCTTCTGCTGAGGAGGTGTTGGGGGAAAGCAGGGTCTCAGCACCCTCCCTGACTGCCTGGCCAGAAGGCGACCCCACAGACACATCATCCCCTCACCTGGGCTGCTCCTGCAGCCAGAGGAGAGGGACAGGCTTCTGCTCATCCTAGAGTGCTGCCCAAACTAGATCAGATTTAACGTGGGATAAAAACATCTCCGCTAACTACAAAAGGCCTCTATCTTTTTAAATGTCTGAAGATTGCTTCCTGAAACCATATTGTGTCAAATTCTCCTTTCTAAACTCATGCTTATACTATAGGAGCTGAGGTGTGTCTTAAAATCCGGATCTTCCTGTGATTCATCTACCACCAGCACTGCTCCTGCATGTCCACACAGTCCAGGTGACAGCAGAGACCCAAGGGATATAAGGAAGAAACTCTTTATGAAGAGGATGGTGAGGCCCTGGCACAGGTTGCCAAGAGAAATCGTGGCTGCCCCATCCCTGGAAGTGTCCAAGGCCAGGTTGGACAGGGCTTGGAACAACCTGGAAAACGTCCTTGCCCATGGAAGGGGCTTGGACTAGACGAGTTTTAAAGGTCCCTTCCAACCCAGATCGTGGTTCTGTAATTCTGTGATAACCCAGCAGCGAGATGCTCCTCAGCCTCCGTAACACATGTGCAGCGCGGGGAGATGTGGGGATTCAGTCCCTGACAGATGGGAACCTGTGGGGGACTCACAGCACGGCTCTGCTGAGGGTTTGGCCAGTGCAAACCAGGCAGTTGCTCACGGGAAGATAAGCGAAATACCTCAGTTCAGCAACATCAACTCAGGGATCTGGCTCTGGCATATCTGAACCGGCTCAGATGATTAAAAAAAAAAAAAAAAAAAAAGGATTCTCCTTTCTTCCTCTTCAAGACCTTTAGGAAGGCATCCAATTCGCAGCCTCCTGTGCGACAGCTGCAGAAAACAGGTCTGGAGAGGACCTTGAAATGTCACCCAGAATTGCGGCCCCGTGACTGGGTCTGCGCCGGGGCCAAGAACAACGACAGCCAAAAGCACTCCAAGCATCAACAAATATTGCTGCTCGGCGCACTCCCGTGCAGCTGCCAGCGTTCTCTGCCGCCTGCTCCCTCCAGCACTGCAGCACTCAGCACACACACGTTCATGAGAGCATCTTCTACGGATTTACGGGAAGAGCAGTTAAGAGTTGCGGTGGCTGATGATAGCAGAGAATTGTGGTGGTGGTGGTGGTAAAGATGCTTCGCTCTGACCCATCAACGCGACAAAACCACCTCCTTTCCTGCTAACTGAAGGGCAGGATCAGACCCCCCAAGAAACCAGAAAGGTATCAAGACAACCCCGACTTGTGTCCTGCTTGCCAGGAGCCGCCAGCTCTCCGCACAAAGCTCACCCAGATCAGTACTCACCAGGACCCTTGGTTCTGTTTCAAATCGGCGACGCTCCCTTTGCTCCTCTGACCATTTCCTAAGGAACAACAGAGAGAGAAAGAAACAAAAAAACCATCATCAGATCCAGGACTGAGTGTCTGGTTAATAAAGGCCAGCTCTGGAGACACCTTCTGCTGGCGCAGTGAGGAAACACTGAGGCAGGCCTGCTCCTGCTCTCCCACCGCACGTGTTTCCACGGTCAGTTCATCCGCACATCACCCTCCCCTGTACCACGAGATCACCTAGCAACACCGTGCCACGGAGGTGCAAACCCACCCCGTCCTCCCACTGTATCACATCTCCTGTGACAGCTGGGAGATGAACACTCCGGAAACGGGACACATCCAAGCGGCTTTGGCTGCTTCGCCCATCCCACCCCCCCAGCTAAAACATTATTCTTTGGTCCCCATGGGATTATCAGCTTCCTGGGGCTTTCTGCAACCACAGCTCAGTTGTCAAGAGATGATGGTACCCACAAGGGTGCCTGCAATAAACCCACATCCCAGAGGTGCCGGGGTGCAGAGGGGGAAGGTGTGTGGCCAGTGCCCTCCCAGGCTCTGCCCATAAAAGTCTCCTGTCGCTCTTAGCTTGGGAAAAACCGTGGAGAAATGGAGCCCTACAGAAGCTCCTGGCCACCACTTGCACATGAGAGAGACAGTGGCTCCCAACAGGCTGGCATTTCCAAACAGGAAGCTGACACCTACATGTGGGAGGTGTCAGGTGAGTGGGACTGTCACCACCACGTGCCAGAGGAGGTGACAAAACACACAGGTGGCTGATAACACGGGTTACCTACAGGGTGGTTGTTGAGGGACGAGGTGGCCCAGCAGCTTGCCTGGGAGGTGGGCAGGACTCAGGGTTGATGCAGGAGATCAGCAGGAGGGTGCTTTGCAGGACCAGGCTCCATTTCAGCGCAACCTCAAGGACTGAGACCCTCACCAGCAGGCAGCCATCATATTAACGGGGTCCTGAGTGCCCCTAGTACAGCTTGGGGGGCTGGCCCAGGTCTCCTCCTGGGTAAGGGCAGAGAGGAAGACCACCTTGGCACACGTGACATGGGAGTGCACAGCTGGAAATGGCTCGTGTGGTGCAGCAGTCGGATGGAGATGCAGCATTTGCACGCCAAAGAAGTGACCACCGGGGGTATTTCCCCCAAAACGGCACCACCAGCTCACACTTTGTCCTTAAACCTTGGTTTGCACCTGAGTTTTGGCCAGGGTCAAGGGGTTGCCATCAACCCATGGAAGCTGCAAGGGAAAAGGGGACCTCTATGCCAAGGCTTAGTGAGTTGCAAAGCAAGGGAACAGCCACTCGAGTGTAGTCTCTCAATTTCCTTCCTTCTCCAGGCAGCCCCTGCCATGGGTTTACCAGGGCAGGATCCACCAGTACTATTTCCCATTACAGAGAAGCAACTGGGATCTCTCTCCCACCCACTCAATACTTTTAGATGGAGCCATTGACCTTGAGTCAGCCTTTATGGGATTCTCACTCTCATTATTTTCATGGGAAGGTGCCAACAACATTTTTCAGGGGAGGCTGACGCCGGGATGACTGTCCCAGGATGGAGGAACCGAGGGGCTCTGAGCACCCTACCCAGCCTATTGAACTGGTAAGATAATTGCTGTGCACGCACACCCAAGGAATGGGGGAAAACCACAAAGGGTAACCTTTGTGGTGGCCTCTAATTTTCCTTCTCATGCTTCTACAAGCACCAGTCTGAGGACATTTAGGCAGTAAGGCAATGCATGGAGCACAGGTGGGAGCACAGGGTGGCTGCAGACCAGCACCAGGGCCACGATCAGCCCCAGGAGGGGGATTTCCCTGCAGCTAATGAGTCCATCTGCTTTCAAGAGCATCCAGATGCTCTGACCTTGTGCACTCCAGCACGACCTCCTTCCTTAGCCCCAGCCCTGCTCAGATCATTAGCTTGACAAGAAACTGCCACTGCTGAGGACTAATGGCTCGTTTGCCACTCAGCAGCCACAAGTGATCAGCAAGGGGGCAAAGAGCTCAGTGCAGGCCACTGTCAGCATGCCCACGTTCCGGACAAAATTCCTGGGGAATGCTGCAAAAATTCCTGCAGTGCCCCTGGCTTCCTCCCAGAGGCTCATCAGCTCTGCTAAGGCTGATGCACAACCTCCTCTGGGCACCGGGGCAGGGGCTGGATCTGTGTTTCCCAGGAGCAACGCTGGGCTTCAGCTTTAACTTCTGGCTAAATTCTCCTTCCCTCTACAGGTCCTTCACTGCAGCTACTCCCCACTGCAAGGGCAACTCAGGGACACAACCAGCTTGCAAAGCAACACCTTGGTGCAGACAGGTGGGCGTTGGTGTCCTCTCACAGGTGACAGGAAGAGAGGAAGCAGCCTCAAGTTGCACCAGGACAAGTTTAGGTTGGATATGAGGAGAAATTTCTTCACAGAAAGGGTTGTCGAGCCCTACACAGGCTGCCCAGGGCAGTGGTAGAGTCACCATCCCTGGAGAGACTTAAAAGCCATGAAGACGTGCCACCTGAGGATACACTGCCACGAAGAACAGAGGCTGTGAACAACCACAGTCACGGTCCACCCTCTGAGCCAGTGAACGGGGAGCTGAGGAGGATGCCCTGACGCCCTTTTAGCAGTTTCCAAAATAGGATGGGTATTGCTGAGAGCAGCCCAGGCTCCATTCTCCCGTTCCCAGAACACACGTGCAATGAAAAGCTACAGATCAACCAGGCTTGCCTGTGGCTTCCCCCTCAGCCACAAGGCCCCTTTTAGCTTCTTGGGGTGGTTTACAGATGAATCGAACACACCCTCCTGGATATGACATTGAAGTTTCTAATTACCCTCCCTGAATGCATCACTAACATGCCACATCAGCTCGCTCGGGTCCGCTCCTCTCACCACGTGTCTCTGCGAGTGGAGCTTCTGCCTCTCTTTAGAACACTGACCTCTCCATCCCCTAGCTGGGGTGGGCTGCAGAGCTGGAAAAGACAGCTCCCAGACAAACTGGTGATAGGTACAGGCTTTGTCCTGCCCTTGAGATCAACCCCGTGCGAAGAAACATTTATCAAAGAATCACAGAACAGTTTGGGTTGGAAGAGACCTTTAAAGACCACCCAGTCCAACTCCCCTGCCATCAGCAGAGACACCTTCAACCAGATCAGGTTGCTCAGAACCCCGTCCAGCCTGACCTTGAATGTTTCCAGGATTGAGTCATCCACAGATTCTCTGGGAAACCGGTGCCAATGTTTCACCACACTCACTGCAAGAAACTTCTTCCTAACAGGTATTCTCATTGATCAATTTAAAACCATCACCCCTTGTTCTACTGCAACAGATTCTGATAAAAAGTTTGCCCCCTTTAGGCCCTGCAAGGGGCTCTCAGGTCTACCTGGAGCCTTCTCTTCTCCAGGTGAACCCCCCCAGCTCTCCCAGCCTGGCTCCAGAGCAGAGGGGCTCCAGCCCTGGGAGCATCTCCTCTGGACTCTCTCTGGCAGCTCCATGTCCTTCCTACGCTGAGCAGCCCCAGAACTCTCTCCAAGGCATCCACACTGGGAACACCCCTGCCCTCAAGAGAACAAGCACTCACACACTCCCAGTGGAGTCCCAAGGATTCCATCCATGCTCTAGCCCTGACCAGCCAGCAGCTGGAATTCAGCTCACCTGAAGCACAGGATAGCCCTGGGCTGACAGCCAGCAGCATGGACCATGGGAACGCCCTTCCCTGTGTCCATGCCAAGGGGGGATCCTCAGGGACAGCCCGACAAACCTGTGCCAGACCCTGGCATGCTGGGTAGGATTCAGCTCCAGATTAAAACGTCTCAGTTGGGGTGCCCACGTGCAAATCCTGGATTTAGCTGGCATGTTGGATTCCCTAAGCTGTCCAAGACCCATGCAGGGTACTTCCAGATGTGACCCTGGATCTCTGATTTCCAGATGGGGACTAAGCAATGTGTCTCAAGGTAAAACCAGACACCTGTGTTCAGCAGCCGAATCGTGACCTACACATGTGGTGGCTGTCCCAGCTCTTACTGCAGTCCATGGGGATGCAGCCAGCATGGTCTGGGGTGTTTGGTGAGCCATTTAGTTACTCAAACACCAGTATCTATTTTGGGGTGTGAGACACCCTCCAGACTCTGCTGATCAAACATCCACCGGCTCTAACAGGAGATTAGCGCCGAGTTAATATTTTTATCTCCCACTGCAGCCCACCTCCAGCTCCTGGTCCAAGTTTCAACAGCTCCAAAATAAAACCCATTTGCATTGGATGAGGATGCCCTCCAGCTCTGCACTCTCAGGCCCCTGCTGTGATGAGCAGCACAGTCCTGGCACATCAACACTTCCAGGATGGTTCCAGTGTTTGTGTGGCTCCTGCATAATAGCACTGAAATAAGTAAATTTGACAAAGAAAGGAAAAGGAACAACTGATTTGCAAGCCCATGTCATGAATCATTCACCAAGTCTGCTCTCCAGTTTTCCAATAATCTTGGAGGTTGCTTTCAAAGTGCTGTTTGCAAACCCTCTGTTAATCTGGGAAGCAGATGCTGCTACAGGCTGTGTTACAGCATCTTCAATAAATCCCCAACAAATATTACTTTAAAATGCCCAGGACTTTTTCAACCAGTTGTTTTTACATCTTCTTGGCATATCTGAAAAACCGCCACCACAAAAACCCCCTTTGCTGTGGTTCAGCTTTAACAAACATGCCCAAGCCTGGGGAAGAGCTCATCTCATATCTCCCCTCATGCCCAGGTAACCCCAAACTCCTCCCAGAGGATTCTTTCCATTTCCCTCACATGCTCTCAAAAGTCTTTCACCTCACCAGACACATTAGTGGATCAGGAAGGTGCCAGAACTACTTTCTAGCAGCCTTTATAACAGCAAGCAAAATCTGGACCTGCAGGCAAACACTACGGTATTGCCAGACAGAAATGAGGGTGAACCCTGTTTTCAGTGAAAATCAGGATAAAACAATGAGGTGCTGCCTTCTCATCCCAGCTTGAGCATCTAAGGTGTTCTGACAGTGGTGATATGACAGACTGGCCCCTTTGCCATC